TTTTTTTTGGTTTTTCTCCGGTACCGGGAACTGAACTCACGACCTTGCGCTTGCCAGGCAGGCGCTTTTGCCGCTGAGCTAAATCCCCAGCCCTTTTCGTGGCATTTGATAGACCTAAATTTAAACTTAAATATCCACAAGTAGCTAGTGGCTACCATATTGGACAGTATGGTTTTGGACATTTCCCAGTCCTTACTTAACTCACAGGAACTTTTGGTTACTTCCTACCTTTTTCAGAGCTTCATAGTGTAGAGCTCCAGGCAGAGTCGTACTGGGAGTCACTCATACCCAGCGCTCTGGAAAGACTGCCTATTCCCATTGTGTAAATACTCCCCCCTGCCTCTCTCTCAGCTGCCAGGGTGACATCCCATGGACACAGAGTCAGGAAAAGTAATACCATTTTATACTGTTTCCATGGTAGCAGTATCATAGGTGTAGATAACGCTGAGAACAGAGATAACAGTAAGATGTAGTAAAATAATCAGGTATTGATTAATTTTGAGTATTTATTACCTTTGTTTTAATATAATTTATTTAGTTATTAATTTGTACACTTTGGTTTTTAAGAATGTATTTTTAAAAAAAATTCACAGGGGACATGATGGCACATACTTGTAATCCCAGCACTCAGGAGGCTGAGGCAGGAAGACTGTGAGTTCAAGGCCAGCCTGATCTATATAGCAAGACCCTGTCTCAAAAAAACACACAAAAAATTCTCCCCCCACATGGCTGGTTCAGAGGTAGAGCATTTGCCTATCATGGTCAATAGCCTGGATTCCATCCCTAGGACTGCCAAACGAAGTTCACGACAAGTTTCTGAAAATTTAATATGTATCTGCTATAGTACAGCCCTACCTCCTAGTAATTATTCCGAAACAAACAAATCTCTGGCTAAGCTGTCATCTTTCAGTAATTCAAATGTAGGATTTTGTTTGGCCACAAGAGGGCATCATTAGATGAAATTAGATCCTACAAAGCAGGCTTTTCGGACAAGCTCTCCGACCAAAGAGGTCCTTTGAGATTTTAGTCTCCCAAAGAGGGCAATACTTCAAGGCCCTGAAGATGCTTACACAGCTTCAGGCTGTTCTTAACCTCACGACATAAATTCTGAAATGCTCTCAAATAGCCTTGTCCTCTACGTCTGAGAGGCAAATTAGATCCTCGCCAGGTACCAAGCTGGAGGAAGAAAGTCTCACAAGCACACAGCATCTACAGTATGTCGGGTACACACTCCACTCCTGTAATCCTGAAATAGCTCCTGCGAGAAGTGGGTAGATGGCCAGGTCTGTGAATAATTCCTAGTAGGACAACCCTGGAGGGTTCTCCTTTGCATTGCAATAAGTTGTAGCTTTTAATTCACATGAGGAATGTTAAGAACATATTGCAGACTCAACGTTTGGTTACCTATACTGGTATAAGAATGGGAGGAATTGCGCTCTCTTTCTCTCTTTCTCTCTCTCTCTCTGGCTGGGCTACCTAAAGTATACAAGGACTTGGGGTTTGGGGGTCTTGCTGGGGAGTTTGTATCAGGGTTGGCCAAAGCCCAGCCTAGTCCTGGTAGTAGGGTGCCCTGGATAGTCAAGAGAGCAATACAGCGAGCCTGAAGGTCTCCTCTCCAAAAGGAGGGAGAAGCTGGCTTCCTTAACTCTTAGTTCTGTTAGCCTAGTGCAGACTTGCAGGTGGTGCTTGCGCCTGTCCCGGGGTGACACTCGCGGTGCTTCGCCTCCTCTGCCCTTGACAGAGTGCTGCTCAGCGTGGGGGACTCACCATCTCCACTGCCAGGTGAGGCCGCTCAGAAGGAGGATGCTGATCAGCAGGAAAACACAGCCGGCCACTGTGAACAGAGAGGAAGCTCAGCAAGGGCACCCTGGGCTGGACTTCGGGGACAGCAGGAGAGGGGTCCACAAAGCGGGCAGGGAGGTTCCCCGTGAGCAAGGGCCTCTTGAAGGGCTGGGTGCTGCTCTGCCTCCTTCCCCGGAGTTCAGGCCCCTCCCCTGAGGGTTTCTGAGGAGGCTCAAGGAGTCAGGGCAAGGTAGGTGGGCGTGAGGGCGTGCCTCTTCTCTGGGGCAAACCGGTGGGCAGCAAATTCAAATCGCCCCAGAGGCCAGGCCTCACTTGAGAAGGCTGTGAGCGAGATCCGCATGTGGTGAAAGAAACGGGAAACAAGGAGATAAACGGTAAATGCTTCAACACCCCCTGAAAGGGTTCGCATTTTCCAAATGCTGATCTGCAGACGTTCTGAGGTCACCATGTGTCAGTGTCCAGGCAGAGGGAGTTCAAGTGTGTTTTCCCCACTACAGGAAACTCTGCTGTGTTTCTTCTCTCTCTCCCTGGCTGTGCTGCCCCCTCCACCCTCCTCCGGCCTGCGCATCACTAACGGACTTGGGGCGTGGCCCTTGCTCTCCGCTCAGGAACTGGTAGAGGCTGGTTTGAGACTTAACTGTGACAGACTCTTGAGTAATGTTAGGATCTCAATTCATCTTTTTACTCTTAAAACTTTATATGTTTCAAGAAAGGGTCATTTAAACCAGCCAACCAATCTGTCCAGGTCTGGGTTGGACGTACACTGTGTTCACAGAGAAAACGACCCCACTCACCTGCTACATGATATTCTCTTGGAAATATGGGAGTCTCCACGGTGGTGGCTGTTTCCACCTCTTTTGGAGACTCTGAAAAAGAGGGAGGGAGAGACCCTCAGTTTATGCCCAGGACAGGACTACGCGAGGCTGGGGAGTGAGGGCTTCTCAGTGATCCCTTCCTGCTGGGAGGGGCGTAGGGGTGAGCACAGCAGGGGCAGATGTACCATCCCACTGCCTGGGGACCACCAGCGTGCTGGTTCCTTTCCGACATTTGCCGAGGGGTATGCAGGTTGCTGAGGCAAGTTCCTGCCCTGATGGGAGGAGACAGCTGGGGCTGGCTTCTCCTTCCCGCCCTGCCTGTGTGCTGCAGAGGTGTGTGTTAGGCAAGGCCTGCCCTTCCCTGATTTGGCATTAACGACTGGACCTCTGTCCTCATGGGACTCCTCCCTTACCTGTTCTGGTGTGGGGGCAGGAAGTCTCACTTTCAGGAAGGGCCTCTGTGCTTGCCGGAGAGTCTTCCTGACCTGGAGAGAAAACAAGCAGTGCCTGTGGAGTCCAAGACGGGTCAACGGGAGCCTCACTTCTCGTCACACTGGCCTCTATGGCTGACCCCAGATATGGCTGCTGGGGCAGGACTCCTGCTTTGGGTACATCCCTGAGGACGCAGTTCCACGTCAGAGTCACTGGGCAGCAGTTAGGTTGCCAGTCAGCCTAGCGTTCTTTTGCTCAGTTCAGATGGAAATCGTGAATCCGCAAAGTGCAGCTCTGCTAGCAGTGCTGATGTCACCAGATGATACCAAGTATTTCTCGGTGTCAACAGCTGACACAGCCAGCTGCTGGTCACTGCTGTTGCCAGCGGTCACAGTCTGAAGCTAGCTTGTGCTGGACACCTTGGAAATAGGTCAGAATACAAGCACCGAAGAACCATCAGATGAAAGGAAAGTGTGTGAAGGATAGCCCCTGGCACGATGAATGATCTGCTTCCTTAGCCTCTTAGGAAAAAGGGTGTGGGAAAGAACAACTTCCCCAGCGAACTCTGGAGGAAGTCACTGTCTGTGAGACATGGCGATGAGTAATAACCTTGGAACACTCGTGGCTGAGTGTAATTTTTGATTGTAGAAATAGTAGTAAGATTTGAGAACGAAGATCTCAAAACAGGCAGATTATGCGTGTGTGCAGGTGTGTATGTGTGTGTGTGTGTGTGTGTGCGTGTGTGCAGTATGCCTATGCACACTTAAAGAAGCTCCTTTCCTGCACATCAGTACTTTTATCAAAATTCAGGTGAGGACTCAGACAGGGGAGGAGCCCAGTAACAACGGAGCGCTGTGCAAAGGGTGGATCTGCGTTGCACTCCAGTAAAAGGAAGACCTCATGGGTTTTCCCCTTTCAACTAAGGGAAGTGTTGGTAGCTTGAGGAAAGAAGTAGAATTTCAGGGCCAGTAGGCGGGGGCAGCATTATCATTATGAGGCAGGATCTTGGGCGCCTGAGAACACCCGAGAGAGCTTTCTTCCTTGTCTGACTCTACCACCGTCCGGGGTACAGGACCATTTCAGGTGAAGAGGTCTACAGAGTTCATCTGGTCTATTTTTTTTAGAATGAGAAAGAACTGAGGCCCAGGGGATCAAGTGGTTGTCTCTAGGTCACACGAAAGCGAAGTCAGGATCCACCAGGTGGAGAGAACAAGGGAGTAGACCCAAGGAAGGAGACCCTTACCTGCAAACAAGTGGAGCTCGCTATCAGCTATGCATGTGAGCTGGGGCCAGGTCCACTTTGTCTCCCCACAGGTCACTTTGCAGACGCTTATGGCGGGACCTCTCTGTATAGCCTTGTATCCCTGGATGCACTGGTAGTGAATTGTCTGTCCCACCTTGAAATGGTAAATTCTCTTTGCAGCTTCATGTTTCCATGGAGGGGGCTCCTGGCAGTCACCTGGAAGATGGAAAGAATCCTGAGGGCCAGTTCGGGAAAGAATTGTGTGTGCACACAGGTTACCTCTTGCTAGTGCCAGGACCTTGGTTCTTATTCTTTTGTTTGTTCGTTTCATTCTTCATTCAGCCCACATGTATCGAGAGTGTCATGTGGCGGGAACCTTGCTAGGCACTGTAGGAAGGCAGAGACCCAGTCACTCCTGCAAGGGCTGGACAGTCAACAGGGTCAAAAAACATAGGAAGGCAGAGTGTGGTGAGAATTGCAGTGGGGAACAGAGTCTTGCTAGGTACCGGGACTGGGAATTGAACTCAGGACATTACTCTTGCCAGGCAGGTGCTGTGCTGCTGAGCTACATCCCCGGACCCAGCTTTGCTATAATACATGGAATACAAGGAAACGAGTCATTCATTCTGGTTGATGCTGCCCCTGATAGGAAGCACCTGGGTTGGCCCCTGAATGACAACGTAGTTTTGAAGGAATGGACAAGAGTGGGGAGGGTGGTTTTGGCTGAAGGGTAAGGGCAGGTCAAGCCAATGTGGGGACCACTGTCTTACTTAAACTAGTTAAACTTTTCTCATTGCTGAGACAAAATACCCAACCCCCAAAGGTAAGGAGGAAAGGTTCGTTTTGGCTCACGGTTTGTAAAGATTTCAGTCCATAATTGTCTGGCTCTAAGGCAGAAATGGCGTGGCAGAGGGCAACACAGGGAGAAACCATTCATGGCAGGTGGAAGACAGCAAAAACAAGCAAGTGACCACCTGCAAGTAACTAACACCAAGCCTCTTTCTGTCCCTTACATTTATCCAGGTTACTCACTGGTAGGGTGGTTGGCACTCACACCCTTAATCTTAGGACCCTTAATCCTAGCATTGCACCACGAATCAGTCACATACTGTAGATCCAGCCACTTCTGAAAAGGCCCCACCTGTGACCACATGAAGCTTTGGTGGTGGGGGGGACATCTAGATACAACCATGACAACTACCCTTCTCCCTGGATATATAAGAAAACACACCTTTGTCATCCTGGGACCACAGGGCAATGACCAGGGACAAAGCCAAACTCTGAAGGGAAGGGAGGGAGGGGCTGAGAGAATTTCAGAGATATGGAGCATGATCTGTGATTGAGCCGTGCCTGCAGCTTGACCCAGGTGGGTCTTGTTAAGACTTCTGAAGATCCCCTAAACCGGGGGTGGCGATCTTTTTAGAGCTTTCAATGATACAAATAGCCAGCAGCAGCATGCATGCGATAGGTTCCCACCTCCTCCCTACACCCATGAACTTTACATTTGCCTGCTACAGCCCAGGCCTGACTGACCTTTGCCCCCAGAGCTCATGTCATGTTCTGATTTAATCTCAGGGTTCCCCACTACCATATGGCACTGCATGTATCATGAAGCTGCCCATAAACTCTGATCTCCCAGACTCTCTCCCACCCCAAGTATCTTGCAGAACTTCTACAAATACTTTGTATAAGCCTCTGCCCCGGTAGCAAGCCAGCTGGCCCTGTCCCGAGCTATCTTCTGTTATATAGCACTTTGACAATCATGACTGAATTTCTGTTTTAGTCTCAGAATAAAATGTTCCTTCAAGGACAGTAAAATTCATAACTGTCTGAAGCAAGTGGAATTGGGTTTGGTTTTTTTCAAATGCAAACATTCAAACTATGAGGATTTACAAAACATCCCTCAGCCAGGGCCAGCTGGTTACTCTTGAGTAAGGACAAGAAACACTGACCTTTTGGAAACCTTTCAATAATTGTGAAGAGTTACATGGGGAGAGAGAGCAAAACAAACATTAAATATGTCTGGAAACAACATTCCAAACATAGGCAGGAAGAGGTAAACAATGTCCCTGGATGAGCTTTGTTTCCCTAATACTAAAAAGCTGCAAATCAATTCCAAGTAGTTTGACCTGAATACTCTGTATAAATGTCCCTCATTTCCAGGCATGGTGGCACATGCACACTTATAATCCCAGCACTTGGGAGGCTGAGGCAGGAGGATCGTGTGAATCTCACAGATTTGAGGCCAGCCTGGGCTGCATAGTGAGACCCTGTCTCAAAAAGACAAAAAAAGAAAGAAAGAAAGAAAGATAGAAAAAAAGAAAGAAAATTGAAACAATACTTCCTGCTCCCTGACTCATTGAGTTGTCAGGGTCCACTGAGATTCTGCAGGATATTACACAGTTCTTTGCAAGGTTACGCAATTAGCACAACACCATGGGGATCTTCACCCAGCCGGTTGGTCTCCCAGATGCTCAGATTTTTCGAGCAGGCTCTATTTTTTCCTGATATGACGACTTCATTTAAGCTTAAGTCACTTGAAAAAGCTGAGAGCAGCCACAGTGCTCCCTCACCCACAGCTAATTAGCTGAGTGATTGGAGCTTTTCAGAATCGCCAGGATTGCATGGCACATTTGGTGACCCTGTCCTGTAAGAAACATCTTGCCATTAATTGTTTTACTTGTAATTCATTGCCTTCTACTTAAGAGAAAAACAGAATTTCCTAGAGGGCAGAGGTTAATGTCCTTCTTGTGTTTATATCTTCTACGGGCAGTGCCTGGTGCAATCAGTCCTCACATGTGCGTTTGAGCTGAATTGGACTGAGTTGAGTTGAATTCTATTCTGCCAGCTCCTAACCCGTGCCTAGTTTGGCTCCCATACGAGCGGTTTGAGATGCTGAGCAAACAGCCTGCCAGTGTGAAGCAATGGCTCTTGTCCACGGTAGACTGTGAGGGCCATGAAATGTGCATGTTTATGGACAGCGAACAGTTGGCCTCCTTTGAGGAAAGTAGCATCCTACACCTGCGAGAGGAGGCCAGCTCCCGGGGTCAGCTAGCGGACCATGTCCAGAGGTATCTCTTACCAGGAAGGCTCCCTGTGTCCACAGGCTGTATCTGACTTCGCATTTCTGTGGCGTTTTTTCCTTTGTGTTCTTCAGGTTGAGGCGTAACTTGTTCTCTTGTGTTCCTAGGGGCTGAGGTGATGGGAGGAATGAGACAAATAACTTCACAAACGCTTGCTGTTTTCCCACACTGGGGGGCATCCTCTAATGTCTGTGTGTTCCCAGTAATATCTCCTGCTGAGGTCATGGAGCTGGGCCAGACCCTCCCTTGAGTGCGGCCTCCTCTGGTCTCTCCATATTCACCCACTCAGCAACAATGTCTGCAACATATTTCTGGAATAAATGAATGGTTTTCTGATGGAAAATTCTTTTTTGTAATGACAAGGTCTTGCTACGTAGTTCAGGCTGGCCTTGAACTTACCACGTAGTCCAAGCTGGCCTCAAACTCGCAACAATCCTGTCTCAGCCTCCCAAGTGCCGGGATTACAGGTGTGCACCACACCCAACTTGGAAAATTCTTTTTATGCATGTGCGTCTCACTAAAAGGGACTCCTTTCTTGTCATTAGTCCTGTCGATGTCATGCATGGGTGTATGGGACAGCAATGAGGAATGGTAGATTCTGCAACCTAATGAAGTTCTCAGTCCCCTAAGGCAGTTTAAAACCTTAAAGTTAGAGAGACGTGGTCTTAAAGCAATGACAAGAAAACCCCTCCTAGAACAACCGCCCGCTGTGAAGAGCTTGGCAGAGGAGTTGCAGGTGAGTACCCCAATGAAGCAGGGACAGAGCCCAGCTTAGGCTGAGGGAGGGATCTGCTGCCTGAGTCAGTGTTTCAACAGGGCAGCTATCTTTGAACTTCAAGGTCCACACACAGCATGATTTACTGACCCACACCGTCTCTTGGGTTAAGGAATGTAGATGAACGAACCCACCACATTTCCCACACTCCAGTGCCACGGGGTGGACAAGAGACCTAGCAGAGAAATGAAGCTGTGTGAGAGAGCTCTCAGAATTCAAGGAAGAAAGGTCAACATCCAAAGCATGGTATCAGATCCACCTAGGCTTAGAAGCCTACACGAGCTCGTGGAACTAGTAACACTTATCAGATATTTGTCTGTTGGATAATTATTTCAAAGCCACTATAATTAGTTGTCCTGCAGATTGCTCAGACCACCTTTTTTCTATAGGGCTCACTGAGCAAAAGCTGGACCCCATCTCACTAAAGCTCTTAGCAGTTACAAAAGGAATTACTTACAAGTGCTTACACATTGACATCTGTTGGCCCAGGAAGAGCTTCCTCTACAAAGCAGGTACACTGACCCATTTTTTATCCTGCGGAAACCTTTCTTGCATTCACAGTTTACCATGGTGCCATTCTTGTAGCTGAGGGCTTTGGAGGTGGCGTAGCTGATGCTTGGTGGGTCCTGATCACAGTCCTCTGCGAAGAGAAAGAAGCACATCAGGAGCTCCAGAGGCACAGCCAGACACGCACGTGTAGTGACTGAATCACATATTCCTTCGCTTTATTGAAAACATTCACCTAGGCCCACTTTTCCCTAGAAAGAAACTTAGCCTGCCACTGTTCTTAGAAACCTTTAGAGCAGGGATTGTTCAGCAGTTTTCACCCACTTGCCTCTCCCCATGCAATGTATTTCAAACTAAAGGAGTAAAACTGAATGAGATTTGATTCTGAATAGACCTCATGTTGAGCAAATATAGAAAGAGAGAGCAAGATCAAGGAATGTGAGGACAGGGCGGGGGGAAAGCCATGCAAATATAACTGAAGAAAAAAATTATCTGTGCAAAATACTTTTTAGGAAATAAGAAGCATGAGATTTTCTAAAGTGAATGATTCTGAGCCATAGTTCTTGAGTGATAGGCAGACAGTGCTTCACTCGGTGTCTGGCAAGCAGGCAACGGGAGTTTCTTATTCTTTCACGCGCCACTGCATTTCCCAGCTACGATCTCACAGCCGGAGAAACGGGCACCGGCGCCCAGTGGGGGCACCAGAAGCAGTGGCCCACGCCCAACTATGGAGTGGGGAAGTGGCTCCAGGCTGATCAGAAAAATTATCCCGTTGCATATTTTGCACCGAGTTCTTTTGCCTGAAGAGATCAGCCTATTGGGGAAATGCCACACGCTGGGTAAAGGAGGAAGATGAGGGCACGGCAGCTGCGGTACTTACTGCTGTTGGTTGGCCTATTGCTTCTTGTGTCAGTTAATTTTGGGTGTCAACTTGAGTGAACGGATGAATGTCTAGAGAAGTGGTAAAATATACTTCTAGGTGTGTCTTGAAGGCTGTTTCCAGCGATGCTGGCCTACGGTCAGCAAAGGGAGTAGGGAAGGTCCACCCTCAAGGAGGGTGGCACCATGCAATCGCTGGCAGCTTAGATGAAAATTCTCTCTCCCCCCACAGAGCCTTTGGACATCAGGGTCCAGGTGCTTTTGCCTTTGCACTCTCGGATTTGCACCAGCCAACCTCCCAAGGCTCACAGACCTGCATCCTCAGACTGGATGCTCTACTATTGGTTGTCCTTGTTTGGGGCCTCCCGGTTTTTGGACTGAGCAATCACTACTGACTCTGCAGCATGCAGATGGCCATCATGGAACTTTTCAACCTCTATGATCACGTGAGCCAATTTGCCTACACATTCATAGTTAGATAAACATGTTCTATTGCTTTGGTTTCTCTGGAGAACCCTAACTAATCTTCAGATTAACCGCTCAGGCTGGGGAGGCTTCTCCGCCCACCACACCACAGGGTGGCACAGGACTTTCCTGAGTCCCCTCAGGACTGAAAGTGGGAAGGACTTAGACAGCTTCGTCTATCTCTATCCAAGAAGGTACTAACAAAAGCAATTTAAATGCGCCCAGGAGGCCAGCAATAATGGTAGAAACTCAAATAATTATTATAGTACAGCAAGAAAGGAGATATAGTAGAAAGTGCAGGAAGATGTATCTTAAATTATAGCTTCTAAATTCTAGCTCTGCCAGCTTGCTAGCTATATAGCTTTATTGTTTTAATTTCTCTAAGTTCACCTCCTCTTTCTTTAAAATAAATGTAATGACAATTATTTTATTGATGTAAAATTACATGGAATAACATAGCAAGGTAACTTTTACAGGGCCCAGCAAGTAGTAGGAATAGATGTTACTTCTCCCTTCCTTTTTTGTTTTTTGAGACCAAGTCTCACTATTTGTTCCAGCCTGACCTTGAACTCATTATGTAGCCCAGGTTGGCCTCAAACTTGCAGCAATCCTCCTGTCTCAGCCTCCTGGATGCTGGGATTACAGGCGTGCACCACCATACCCAGCACTTCTTTCCATTTTTTCACTGTCCAGGTAAAAAAGAATGCTAATTCAGGTAGAGACTGGGCTGAAGTTCACCTTAACCTTGAACTCCTGCAAAAGATCATAACTATGTACTGTCCATGATAACTATGATACTGATGGTAACTATGTACTGATAACTATGTACTGTCCATGCCATGGGTACTATTTTCTGGCACTTGTTACATGTCTATGCCAACCAACATTTTAAGGGTCAGAGGGTAAACCTACTGTTAAGTCATGATATGAATAAAAATCAGAAAAACCAATGAGGAATTCTGCCTTAAGTCATGCTGAGTAACTGGGATCAAATGTTGTCTTTCTGCTGAGAACTATAAACTCAGACCCAGATGTGTGCAGCAGGAGTTTTGGGTATTGCACAGTAGGCCGTGCAGGGCTGCATAATTTAAGAGGAGGGAGATGCATGGAACTGGCCACAATCGCATGGCTTTCTCCCTGGGGTGCTTAGTCCCATGTGTACCAGGTGCAGCCCAGGCGCTTCGGGGAGCCCCTGGAGAGGAGGGCCCTGCACAGGGGGCTCCAGAGTGTGCACCGGGCTCCTCCTTGGGATCTTTGGCGAGAGCTGCTAGTGTATGAGCCGGGCTGGACTGGGGAAGAGTTGGCACTGGCCTCCTGTTGTGAGGCTGAGAGCAGGCCATTTGCCAGCTTTTACTATAAAAACAGGCATTTAACCTGTGGTCACAGTTTTCTAATTCTGGTAGAGAGCAAATAACTTTCTTGGGATGAATTTCAAACTCAAAATAGATGCTGGACAGGGTGGCACATGCTTGTAATCCCACGACCCCAGGAGGCTGAGGTAGAAGGATTACAAGTTTGAGTCCAATTGGGGCAACTCAGTGACTTAGCAAGAGACCTTGCATTAAAATTAAAAAATAAAGAAAGAACTAATCTGGGGATGTAGCTCAGTGGAAAGGCCCTGGGTTTAGTTCTCAGTACTACAAAAACAAAACAAACCACCACCAACAAAAAACAAAGTAAATACACCCTTACCAAGACCAATCCAGGCCTACCAGACAAGAGGATGCACCATCCTCCGCCCGTCAGAACAAAATTCAATACCTGTCAGACGACAGCGCTATCCAGACTGTCCAGAGCAGCGATGGCGCATCTTTTAGAGACCTTTTAGTTGCCAGACTGCAACCCCCAACGCACTTACTGATCACACAGTGCCAGCACTGTGATTAAACCTGAATACTGAGGGTTTTAGCTTAGAAAAAACAACTCATACGCTTGGCTCCCACGCTGACACAGAGGGTCCTGTGTGCCTGCTGCCCCACACACGCCACAGGTTTGCCACCCCCGGTCTAGCGTGTCTAAGTCATAACACTTGACAAGTTTAAACAAAATTCTAGACATGTGAGGAAACATGAAAATATGACCAACTAGGAAGAAAGAGCGACAACAGAGACAAAACCTAAGATGGTCCACATTTTGGAATTAGATGAGGAACTTAAAATAGTTATAATAAATATCCATGATACCTTGGCTTGTAAGTTGGCTGCAATTTATTTTTATAAAATTTCACTGAACAATGTCACACCCACTCATCTACATTGTACCCATGGCAGCTTCGCTGCTATAATTCAGAGCTGAGGGAGGGACAAGGAAAAAAAGAGACTAGAAGGAAAAAATGGAAACAAAACTTTTATAAATACAGAGGGAAAGAGGTGTCCAAGGGAGGAGAGGGAATGGGAAAGAAAAGAAGCAGCAAGATATACCCTGCACAGGTGCAAATTCCCTATGATGAGTGTTATCACTGAGCATACCTAAAATGTACCAATAGAAAAGGAAAAAAAGGTATCAGTTTGCCTTAAATTCATCCATTAATTCAATATATTACAATAAAAAATTCAACACACATTTTAGCATCAACTGGCAAGCTATATTTAAAAAAATCCCCTTGAAAATGCAAAGGATCGGGCTGGGGATTTAGCTCAGCGGCAAAAGCACTTGCCTGGCAAGCGCAAGGTCGTGAGTTCGGTTCCTGGTACCGGAGAAAAACCAAAAAA